GCCGGTTATTATATGATCATAGGGTATGTATTTTAGCGATGTCTATATGGCGTCAGTGTGAAACCGCTTTCAGTGGTTAGTGGACAGGACCTGTACGTGGAGGATTCGTGTATCATCGTCTGAGTTGAGTACAGGGCGAGGGTCCATATATCATGTTTCACACGTGAACTACGATAAAAAAAAATATAAAAGAGATAGATATTAATAATGCTGTATAATATTTTTTTTTATGCAGGGGTTTCCCTGAGATATGAGAACTATTTCTAGGGCTCCATAAGGGGAAAAATAATGAGAAACTCTGGTTTAAAGACTTAAAAAATAAAAATGTTTGTTTTGTTTTGTTTTTTTTATTTAATTTTTTTTTCGTCTTAACAAAATCCGATTTTATATCAACATATTACTTGGTTTACAAGAACCGTTTTCAAAATTCGAATTTCTAGTTTAATTCGATAGTAAAATAAGGAATATCACAGATGCGAATGTCTGTCTACCACCAGACCTACATTTCTATCACTAAGCTATATCCGAAAACATAGGTAAAACAACTGTAAATGTTAATTCAGAAACAGACACGCCGAGTTGGCGATTAGACCCTCTTTGCGGTGGTAGGAGGACCATTTCTGGTAAACCTTTTTTTCAATTCTTTGGAGAACTGAATGAAAAAGAAATAGCGGCAAAATATTTAGATGAGAGGAATAAAAAAGATGGATGACAATAGAAAAAGAAATCAAAGCACAACAAATTTGAAGAGGTTTTTTTAAAAATAAGTTAAAACGTAGGGAAATGGTGAAAAAGAAATACAATAAAAGATTAAAAAAGAAAGAAAGAAAGAAAGAACTAAAGAAAAAAGAAAGAAAGAAAGAAAGAAAGAAAAAAGAAAGAAAGAAAGAAGTGTATATATTAACATGTTTTCTCTTGCGGATAATTTCCATTGTTTCCTTGTAAAGAAAGAACGGGGTGGTGAAAAAAAAAGAAACAAAATGTCAAACGGGAAAATGGCGGCAGAAGAAGAAGAAGAAGAAGAAGAAGAAGAAGAAGAAAGAAAGAAAGAATAGGGGAAAATATGAGAGGAACAACGAGACAAAGAAGAATAAATAGAAGGGATTAGGAAAAAAGATGATAAAAAGAGGTGAAATAGAAGAAGAAGGAGGAACAAGAAAAGGAGTAGGGAGAAGGGACAATGATGTGAAGAAGAAGAGGAAAGGGGAGAGGCAAAATGGCAGGAGGAGATGAAAAAGAAAGCAGGAACATGAATAAGTTGAGAGAGGAGAAGACAGGGGCAGGATGAGAAAACTAAGATGAAGATAGTGACAAGATAAAAAGAATGTGGCTTTATGAAAAAGGAAAGAGGGGGAGGTGGAAGAGGAGTGGAAAAGATGAGAGGAATAATGGGGGGAGAGAAGGAGACAAATAGAAAAAGAAGAAGAAGAATGAGAAGGAGGAAGAGGGGTGGAAAAGATGAAAGAAAAAGTGAGAAGAAGAAGAAAAAGAAGGCGGAGGAGGCGGAGAAGAAGAAGAAGAAGAATGATGAGAAGGAGGAAGAGGGGTGGAAAAGATGAGAGGAAAAGTGAGAAGAAGAAGAAGAAGAAGAAGAAGAAGAAGAAGAAGAAGAAGAAGAAGAAGGAAGAGGTGTGGAAAAGATGAGAGGAAAAGTGAGAAGAAGAAGAAGAAGAAGAAGAAGAAGAAGAAGAAGAAGAAGAAGAAGAAAAGGAAGAGGTGTGGAAAAGATGAGAAGAAGAAGAAGAAGAAGAAGAAGAAGAAGAAGAAGAAGAAGAAGAAGAAGAAGAAAAGAAGAAATCATCTTTGTAACAATTTTCTGTTTTTTGACTTGTGGACTGTTTCGTGTTTATTTTTTTATTTTTTGGCGCAGTAAAAAAAAAAGTGTTCACCTCCGCGAAAGTTGCCGCGTTCTTTGCCTGCTTTATTATTATTATTATTATTATTATCATTATTATTATTATTATTATTATTATTATTACTACTACTACTACTACTACTACTACATTTTTTTTTAGTTCTTTGGCTTTTTGGTTAGTTCCCATGTGTCTCGCAGACTGAAAGGCGCCGCCGTTCGCCTAACTTCCTGAATTCCTGCACCCGCCCCTCTTGCAACCCCCACCCAATTCTTCATCCCCCAAACCCCACACCCATCCCACAAACCACCTCCTTCTCCAACAGCCTCGCAAGATCCTTTCGATTTTTTTTTTTTTTTTTTTTTTTTGAAGAAAGTAACAAAAAATAACTGTTTTCCCTTGACCAGGTACAAACAAACCGATAGACTCTGTTGTGTGCATGATGTAATTGGGCGGCGGGTGTGTGCGGGTGTGTAGCTTTATGCTTATAGAGGCAAATAAATGTCTGCATATTAAACACACAATGACACTCATCCAAACGGGGGTGGTGAAAAGATTCTCAATTCAATCAATAACAAATTTGAACAAAACATCCGTTTGATCAAATTTTGGGAAGTGGTTTCGGAAAATAGGTAAGACATTAGGGACACATGAAAAACTTTTCAACACTCATATATATATATATATATATATATATATATATATATATATATATATATATATATATATATATATGCGTGTGTGTGTGTCAGTGAGCATCCGTTTAAATATGGGCTGGATGCAAATATTTAAATAATGATAGCTATACATATTGTATGCGTGACTGCATTACATGCACATTGATTCTTCACTAGATAGATAGATAGATAGATAGATAGATAGATAGATAGATAGATAGATATGAACTGAATCCGATAGATAGATATAAACAGAATCCTTTAGATAGATAGATAGATAGATAGATAGATAGATAGATAGATAGATAGATAGATAGATATGAACTGAATCAGATAGATAGATAGATAGATAGATAGATAGATAGATAGATAGATAGATAGATATAGAAGATAGATAGATATGAACAGAATCCTTTAGATAGATAGATAGCAAGATAGATAGATATGAACTGAATCCGATACATAGATAGATAGATATGAACAGAATCCTTTAGATAGATAGATAGATAGATAGATAGATAGATAGATAGATAGATAGATAGATAGATAGATAGATAGATAGATAGATATGAACAGAATGCAGTACGTAGTTAATGATAGGCCTGTTTTGTTGATCAATGTGCGTATATAAAATCATGCAGCTAAGCATATATTTATCAGCACCTAATATATATATATATATATATATATATATATATATATATATATATATATATATATAATAATCAAAACTAGCCATGGGGGGTAAAAATGGTATTTGAAGTGTTCAATGCTTTATAGTAGAGCAAATATTTGTATTATTCATAAGAAATATGTCTCCAATTCTCTGCCTGTTCTAATTGCCGGGCAGTGCTTTGTGACCCTCGCTATCTTATCAACAGATGAAGTTTGTTTTTTTTTTTCAACCTACATTTATATACGTTACAAATTAATCAAAGAACAACTATTAAAGAATGAAACATTTTCGGATTTTGACGATGGTCTTTTTCTTTGTCCAAAGCCGTGAATTTCTTTTCCTCATGTTTAGTCACGAAAAACCACAATATAAAATTCAGTAATTTCTATTTTTGGTGAATGCGTTAAAATCTTTCAATGTTTTAAGAGGAAAAATCTCAAGATGATGTTAAAAATTGCCGCAAGACATCGTTAATTTATTTAAGATGGAATTATCTATTATGACATGTCTCTAATTTGTATTTAGAGACATTGTATTTATTTAATTTCTTTTCTCGTTGAATTGTTCACCTATATTGCATATGATCCATTATTGTACATAATTAGGTTACAATAAAATTTGTAATTCATATGAATACTGCCTTATGAAAATTGAGATGTTGTGTAGAGTGGGCATGAGACTATCACCCTTTCTCTCTCTCTCTCTCTCTCTCTCTCTCTCTCTCTCTCTCTCTCTCTATATATATATATATATATATATATATATATATATATATATATATATATTTATCATGCAACAAAAACCGACTATAATTATTGTTTCGTCCGTGTATTCGTTGATATATTGAAAAGTAATTGTCATCTTTGATAATGGCATATGTAAGCCGAAAGCTCAGATTGGATTTAAGCATGTATCAATATGGTGACTTCCTTTCGTCTTTCAATGATTATGTTATTTAACATCAGACAATATGAAAGGAACTTACTTAAAATAAATAAACAAAACTTGTCTATATTATTTAATGAAACATGCATCAATGAAAAATTGCCGCCTAAATATACACAATATATATATATATATATATATATATATATATATATATATATATATATATATATATAAAAGTACCTACCATATTTAAAATCTAAAGTATAATAAAAGTAAAATTGTGATACAAAGTAAGCAATTTCTTTTAAAGAATCAAAAGATAATTAAAATTTACATCAGATGTGCAATCTTTAATGACAAAATTGTAAAACACTTTAACAAATTTAATCTTTCTGCCTTTTCTTTAAAGAAATTATTCAAATCTTGAAATCTTTCATGTTTTTTGTTGCGAATCGCATTCTTTACATCCACCCCCCCAAAAAAATTATCGTATCAGAGGTCTTTGCAGCCTTAAAAAATTGACCCCGCTTTTCTGAGGCCACGATTTGATAATTATCTATCCAAAGTCTCTTTAACGACACGTGAATGGCGAACAGGTGGTCCGTCTTGCTAAACAACCTGCCGTTTGTTAAAAGATTCTGGAGAATTGTGGTTAAAAAAAAGAGAATAGTCCATTCCCAAGTAGTTTTCACGTGAAATTGTTCCATCAATGTGGTAGTTATTTTCTTTACCAATAATCAGGCCCAGTACAAGTGTCTCGTCTACCCCCTCTCACACTGAATCTATGATACGGGCATCCACCTCTCTACTACATCTTAATTTTCATAAGGGGGTATTTATACAATTTTATGAATATACTAGAAAAATTGAAAATAAATACAATGTATCAAAATACAATTAGAAACA